CAGTAGATGACCCAGAAGGAGCAGGCAGGCACCAACTGCTGGGGACAGAATTTCCTAATGCTTGGGGTCTTTGCCTGGTAGAATGGAGGTCCTGGGCTTGGTGATCCCAGGCTGTTTTCTGTGTGGAAGGATGAGGATGAGCTAGAGTGAGGCCCTGAGGTTGCTCCTGGTGGTAATCTGTTCTCAGGGCACCCACGTGCAACCTGTGGTCTCTGAAGCTCAAAGCCAAAGACAGGCAAGTCTCTGAGCCAAGCCATCGGCCAGCTTTGAGGAACATGTCAGCAGATTAGCTTGTTGGCTTTCCCCCTGAGTGCCATTCGCTCTCACCCCATCTCATGTTCACCATCTGGCTTTGAGTAAGAAGTCTTCTAGTGATCTCTCTTCAGCAGCCTGCTTTCTGAGAGCTGTTCAGCTTTCTCCCTTCTCAACCCTAGGGCCCAGTGCTCTCTGAGAAGAGGTAGGTAGTCTGCTGTGTCCACAGAGATGCATACCTGGGATCAGAAGAATACTTTAGAGATCACAGGGGGAAAAATCAGCTTAAAGAATTAGTCTGGGTGGTTAATGGCCTAAAATCTTTTTGTTGTCAAAACTAACAAGTGGCTCTGTCCTTAGGTGAGTTTTTAAATGGAGTGCCTCTTACTACTCTCTCTTCTCTCTCCTATGACAAAGAAAGCTCTTTCTGCTGTGAGGTGATATAGTCTGTCCAGATTTTGGTAGCAAGAGAGATACAAGAGGGCTGGGAAATTTTTACTCATTGGAACGTAAAACCTGAGGTGGAGATGCTTAAATGAACCACTTCTCCTCCTCCCAGGGAGCTGGCTGCTTTCTCATCCTGGGTTAATATACATTGGCCAGGGCTAAACGCCTGATGCTTCTGGACATCGTCCAGCCCCTTGGCACAGCAGCCGCACTGTGGAGATACAGCTGCTGGCATTAAAGGGCTAAGCCCTTTCCAGCTGCTTTGCTTTAACAGGAGCCGCCTGCAGTCGGCAGCTTTACGGAGCTGTCTTAGCCCGATTATGGGGAAATGACTAATCTCTGCATCTTCTCATGGCACTGCTTTGGAGGCTCTGGGGAAGATAACCACAGGGGTGGGAAGTGGTTGGAAAATGGTGTTGGAGTGCTAGGCTATTATCTCCTTAAAACTGTGGTCCCAGCTTGGCATGGTTTGCATTTTGTTTTGACTCCGTGAAAAAAAAAGTGGGGTTCTCTTCAGTGGACTTGGCGCTGAGGAAAAAGAGATATTCACTGTGAGGGATAGCCTGGATACCTAAAAGCTGACACAGCGACAGACGTGTGGAGTTGAAAGCAGGTGATGGCAGTAGCAGCCTCCCCCCCAAGAGGAAGAACAAGATTTGAGGCCCTCCGTTACGGTCCCCACTTTGGCCTTCCATTTCTCTTTTGATTAAATTTGGATTTAAAGACCCAAGATTTGAAGGAGAAACACTCTTTTCAGTAGTTATAAAATGTGTTTTAAAGATAATATTGTTAATATCTCTGAGACTCTGGACATCTTATAATCAAGGGTCCTTACAAATGTGATGCAGTGCTCTGCTCAGTAGTGAATACCTGTAATCCCTGCACTTGGGAGGGATCACAAGTTTGAGGCCAGCCTGGGCAGTTCAAGGCCAGTCTGGGCTATATAGCAAGACCCTATCTCAAAAAAACGAAACACTTGTAATGCAATGTTTGTTCTTTCTTAGTGACTTGGCTCATAAGGTAGTGATGGATCTCCTTATAACCAGGGTCATTTGGATTGGAAGTGTTAAAAATTTTGACTGGCCCAAATATGCAGGCCAGACAACCTGATATTTTGCTGAAGTCAAACAGGGAGCTCCAATGGTAGAACATGCGGTTGGTATATACATGAGTATCAATTCCCAGCACCAAAAAAACAAAAGCAACAACAAAACACCAGAGAGTTTCCTCAGGTCTGAGGGAAGCTGCTACAGGAAAAGCAGACAAAGTAAAGCTCCACCCAGACACCTAGCATGAAGAAGCAGACAAGCAATGTATAGCACAGGATTACAATCTGTTCCAGTTCTAACCCTAGAGCCGTAACATGTGACCCCTGAATCAGGGAAGGGGAAAAGCAGTTGTGAATTAGTAATAGAGTACATCCCAGGGGAGGTCAGGGTGCTTTAACAGAAAGGAGGCTAGGCGTATTCAATATTCTGTTTGGCTAGAGAGCGAGCTGGGAGTGTTCATTGCAATTTTTTTGTCCAGTTTGCTTACCAAATCCAGAATATCAGAAGAAAGTCTTTCCTCTCTTAAAAGAGGAGGGCCAGGATTTGAGGAGCAACAATAAAAGGAAGGCTGGTTAGTAAAGTGAGGGAAACGGTGGCCTGAAATTAACAAGCACATTCATAGTGTAATTTTGTTTAAGAAGGTCTTCCTACTCACATAGTGACAGGTGCTCAGTGCTAGGGCAGACATGGGTGAAAAGTGTATGGGAGCTCAGAGGGAGGGAGCTGGAGACTGAAAGTCTCATGGAGCCAGGCATGTAGCACACTCCTGTAATCCCAGCACTTGGGAGGCTGAGGCAGGAGGATTGCTGCAAGTTGGAGGCCGGTCCAGGCTACATAGTGAGTTCAAGGCCAGCGTGAACTACATAGTGAGACCTTGTCTCAAAAAAAAGGTCTCAGACTTTGTGACATAAAGCTGGAATTAGACATGAATATGGCAGCCAGAGAGGGACCAGGGGTCATCCAGTCCCAGGCCAAGGAAGCACATCCAACCTACTGCTGTAGAATCAGACACCCGCACCTGCTGTTCCGGCCTCTCTCTGACCTCGGACTGGGCTCTGGTCTGGCTGGCTGGGCCTTGTTTCATTGTTCAAGGGGCTGGGGCTTGAGTCCTTAGCCCTTGCCCCTATGTCAGGCCTCTCCCTCCGGCTTTGGCAATCACTGCCTCTTCCTCGACCTTAATCAGAGATCTGAAGCATTGTTTTTCATTTCCCTTTTTTCTGCCCATTACCTGCAGCCTATTAATTAGTGCCACCGGACTCCTGTAAGCCCCCTTCACTAGCTCTGCCTGGCCTCCACAGCGTTTACTCAGTGTGTGACTGCACCTTGGTGTGGCTTGCCCTGAGAAGTGATTACAGATCTTGGCTGTGCTGACCCCCTGCTACAGCTGCCTGAGTGGCCGCAGATTGGCCAGATGCTTCATCTTGATTAGCTCCTAACTTGTCCTCCCTGTCTTCCTCTCTGCCATCACTGGGGCCTGGCACTAAGCTGTAGGTTAAAAAATTTCTCTTAATATCCAGCTCTTCTCCTTGGGCCTGTTCTCTGCATTTCCTGGTCCTGCTTGGGGACACAGAGAACAGTGTTGTGGGACCTGGGGGGCTGGAGTGAGCCACTCTCCTGTTGGGAGGAGTCTCCCCGCAAAACCTTGACCAGCTGGTTCTCCGTCTCTTGGCTACTGCAGATCACAGTGGTTTTGGTCTGTGCTACACTTAAACCTCAGCTCTGATGGTGGCTCCCTTTTTGTCTATTTAGAGTTTGTGTGAAATTACAAATCCTCAAAGCCCTGGTTCTTTTTACCTATTTACTGTCCAGCCCAGCCTCCCTTCACCCTTATTCCTTGAAACTCCTCCAACCCAACTATCCCAGCTCTGATCACTCGAGCTCTCCACATCTCTGCTCTGAGAAAGTTCTCATTTCTCTCTTACGTTTGATTCCTGACCCCTCTTTCTTCTGGGATTCCGCTTGCATGCCCTACTTCCTGTCACACACACACACACACACACACACACACACACACACACGAGAGGCATACACAGGCTCCACTGCTAATAGGGGAAGGACATGATGCCTTCTTTAGTAACAGCCCTGGCCAGAGTGGAAACTGCAGAGAAAGCAGCCCTACTCATGGTAGATGAAATGGAATCTACTATGATGATGATGATACAAATAGCTATCAGTGACTGAGATCCAACCATATACCAAGCACGGTGCTAAACATGTTTCATTCTTCCAGCAGCCTCTTAACTAGCCCCATTTTCCAGATGAAGAAAGTGAGGCCCAGGATCCTCAAGTAACTTGCTCAAGGCACACAGCTCTTAGCTCCATCAACCTCTGCTGTATGCTTATGGGATCTTTTTCTTTTAATCTTGATGGCACAAAACCTTTCCATTAAAGTGATTTTCTTTGGAAAGTCAAAGTCTCTGGATCACCACGTTGCTCCTCCTTTTCCCTCAGCCCCAGGGGACTAAATGTGTCCCAGAGCATAGCCCCGCACCCCCACCCCAGGCACAGTGTGGTCCCAGTTTAGGCCTGTCCTCTTTACACCTGGAGGTGGCAGGTTGAAGACCAGCAGTAGGAGTGGGCAGCTTGGGGGCCTCTGCCACAATTGGAAGCGACTGCCTAGGTTCTGAGCTCACATCATCTGCTCCCGCTAAGACAATCATGAACACGAAAGGCTAATTGTATTAATCACCAAGGCACCCATCCCGAGTCCCCCTCCTTTTGGGGAGAATTATGAATTGCGATTGCAGATGGCTCCACTGATTGAAGGCAGCGCTCAGCAGGGAGAACGGCCAGATCAGATTACACACCATTAATTAAAAACTTCCCCCGACAAAGGGGAGGAAGAGAATGCGCACCAAGGGCCTGTCTGGTTGGGGCTCTGTCCTCCCCCACCAGGCCCAGGGGCTGTGGCGGTGAACCTGCTTGCCCAGCCGGAACTGCTGAGATTCGGCTTTCAAAGGCCAGCCCTTCCATCATCCAAACAGATGGCCCGCTGTCCTATTAAAGGGCTCCAGAGAAGGAGAAGCTAACCTTTGGTTACTTACTTCTGCATCTAACCTTCAATGCTCTTCAGCCTCTGACCTAGTTCCTCACGTCTCAGAAAGCTAATCTCTAGCTCAAGTCTATCCTGACCATGTAACAGTGCTCAAGAACTGTCAGTGAAAACAGTTCCTGCCTGTGACTTCATAAAATGCCTTTGGCCTGTGCGTTCTGGGAGAGCGGTGGGTGGAGACTCAGATGTCTGGCCAGGGCCCTCTTCCCAGCCCCTGCCTGGAAGCAGAGGCTTCTCAGCTGCTGTCATTTTGGCTCATTTGGAGCTGTAACCCCTGAATCTTTCTTCTCTTGATCAATTACTGCCTCCTGTCCCTGCCTAGATGCCCAGCCTCAGTCATTCATTCATCAAACTTTTACTGAGCACTCAGTGTGTGCTTGGCTCTGGAGACACAGAGATCATTTGTCAAGGAGCTTAAGCGCCCACTGCAGGAACTCACTGCCCCTCCAGTCGTGTGGTTCCTGCCTCCTTCCTGTGCTGCAGCTTCTGTAAGCCCCCCTGGAGCTCTGTTTTAGAAAATTCTTTCCTAGGAGCTGGGGAAACCTTAGGGGTCTGTATGACTGTGCTGGGTCACCTTCAGCAAGTCACTCGTATCCTCTGTTTGCACACACATGTGCACACCACACACACACACACACACACACGTGCACACAGCTGTCCCTGCACATAGAAGGGCACAGGAAGCCCTGGGCTCTGAGAGATCCCAAAGATGGACGGCTGGGACCCAGTGTGGAGAGATGTGACAAGTGCTCGGTACTGACAAGAGCAGAGTGTGCAGTGACTGCTGGGACCACAGACACCAGGGACTCAGCCACTGCGCTGGTCACAGGCTGGGCCCGTGACCCACTCTTGGAAACCTTGGGTGCTCCCTCCCCTCCTCCTCAGCCCCTTGGGAGACATCGTGGAAAAGGACCTATCTTTTTTATGGATTTGGCTGCTGCATCTCAGGGTACCATGGTGATGGGCACCATAGAGATGAGAACTGACTTTTATTGGCTTGTCTCTTCATTCCAGGGTCCCACCCACAGCCCCCCTTCTCAGCAAACCCAAGCGAGAAGGAGACGCGGCCTCTGTTAAAGTAAACATAGCTAAAGACAGCAAATCTTGCTTTTTTCCCTCCCTCTCCCTTCTTTCCTCCTCCCTCACATTACCAACAGCAATTGTATTCAAATCCAGTAATTACAGTAACAGCAACAATAATCATCATTTATGGAGGTTGTTTTTCTGGCATTTTAACTCACAAAACATTTTCTAATCTCTTACTGTTTCACAGAAGTCCTAGGGGAAGATTGTGCCCATTTTACAGCTGGGAAGCTGAAACCCAGATAGGACTCCAGGTCATGGGCAGAGTAGACTGTAGCAGCCTCTAAAGTTTAGCAATCCAATTCAGACACCTTAGTCCTTGGAGGTTCTGAACCTTGCATCTTGGTTTCCTGGGTCATTCCTCAATTCCCACTGTCCCTAGGTCTTATTCAACAGCTTCCCTAGGAATCCTGTGATGCCGAAGCCAAGGCTGGAGAGGCTTCCTGTGGCCCAGGCCATGAGCTGAGGACAGGGATGGGGATCCCCCCGACCAGGGCTGCCTCAGTGACTGGGGCAAACTCTGGTGGGGGGGCTGCCCTGAGACAAAGCTTCTTTCCTGTATCCTGCCCCTTTGCCAGCTGAGGGAAGGTTCCTGTCGGCCCCTTCCAAGGGTGGGCACCCTTGTGAGCATTGGGAAGAGTGAAGGGTGAAGACCCTCAGGAGGGGAATCTCTGTCCTTAGGAAGCCCCAAGTCTGTCAGGAAACCACAGCCCCAAACTACCCGCAAGGGCAGAGAATCCCTCTGAGGAGCTCAGGGGCCATCCCGAGCCAGATTCTTCTGGGAAGCCTGTTTTCCCCCACTCCCTAAGGGTTCTTTAAGGTCCCCTGGTTAGAGCCCAAGAAGAGCAGCTGCCAGGGCTTTAATTCCTTTCCCCTAAGACACGGATCTAGAGGACCAGAACCCCCACTGAGTCTAGCTGGGCATAAGAAAGGGAGAGCATCACAAAGACCAGTACCCCTCTCTGTTCTGTCCCATTAGGAAATGGGGAAGGTCTAGGGGAAGGAAACTAGACAGATTTACTCCAAGATTTATTTGACCTATAAATGTAGAAGACAAGCATGTGTGGTATGCCTATAATCCCAGTTACTCAGGAGGCTGAGGCAGGAGGATGGTGAGTTCCAGGCCAGCATGCACAACTTAGCAAGACTTTATCTCAAAATATATCTCAAAATAAAAAGGGCTCAGTGGTAACATCCTTGCCTAGTTTGAGTGAGGCTCTAGGTTCCATCGCCATTACCATTTTAAAAAAGGAAAGAAATGTAACGCCAGGGCTAGGGATTGGCAGCCCCCCAACCCAGCCCACTCTGTAGAACAAGAGACCAAGCCTCCTGCTCCCTGCTTCCAGTCCCCTCACCAGGAAAGCCATGAGTCGGGTCATACAAGGCACACTGCCCACCTGCAGGGCTCCTCTCTGCAAGGGCTATGGTATCTCACACGCTCACTTCAGTTTCCCCTGAACTGCCTTGGGAGTCTTTCTTCTCAGGCTCCACCTCTACTACTTTCTCCACCTTGGTGGTGCCTGTGAGGATGGCCAGTCGCTGGGCCAGAGTCTTGGTGTCAGGGAACAGGATAAAGTTGTAGATCAGCGAAGCCAGCACAGCCCCTGTCAGGGGTCCTACCCAGAAGATCTGAGGAGACAGAAGCAGGCACCCATCCATGAGCCGTCAGACTTGTAGGGTGCTTCGGGACCCTGCCCACTTCCCTAGCGCTGACTTAGTCTCCTGGGAGCTCCCGAACTGCCTCCAAGATGGTAAGTTGAGAACTACCTCCTGAGCCTACGAGGACCTTTATGGGACCTTGCCTTCTGTGCAGCCAGGCTCGAAGCCATGGCAGGGCCAAGGAAGGCCAGTCTCCTCTCCAGCTCCTGCCTTCCCTCTCACTTCCCCTGTTTTAGCCAAGTTCTGGCTACTGCTGTTTCTGTCTCTGCTGGTATGTGTGTCTATTTCTGTGTGTCTTTTTCCTTATTCAAGTTTGAAAATTGGTCCAGCTGGAGAAAGTGAAGAAGGAAGTAGCCAGAACAGAAAGCCTGGCCCAAGGCTACAGCTCCTGCCCTGGCCCATTTCTCCCTAGTTCACTGGGTACCATGGGCTACTGGAGGTAGAAAGAAAGGAAGTACAAGAAAGGAAACCACACTAGCCTTCTGAGCGTGGGGAAACCCCCACTCCCAGGTCTGATGGTCTGGGGTGGGGCTTGTCTCCCCAAGTCTCTATGGACCCACACTAGTAAAATCCACTGGGTCCGTTGTCTCTGCCTAGACCTTCTTCCTTCCCCATGGCGGCCAGTAGAGGGTCTTACCCAATGGACTGTGAACTTGCCAATGATGACTGCAGGACCAAAGGAGCGGGCTGGGTTCATGGAGCAGCCAGTGAAGTAGATCTGGGGAGTGAGTGCAGGGTCAGGCTATGAGGAGGCTTGAGGAGCCGGGGAGGGTACAGCTCCCTTCCCCCAGCCCCACTTTACTGCATCATATCCTGGCCCTGGGATATGAGGTATGGGGCACTATCTCCACTCCAAGGCATGAGGGACTCAGGGAGAGAAACTTCCTGGTCTTCAGGGCCCCAAGAGTTCCCCGGAAAGGGCTCCAGTGTGTGCAAGTGCGTGGTGTCCCCTCTTACCCCGATGAGGTGGCCCAGTGCCACAGAGGTTCCAATCATGGCGGCCGGGGAACCCACAGTGTGACGGCTGTCCGTGGAAGCAAAGACACAGAGCACCAGCTGCAGAGTCAGAACCAGCTCCACGGCCACTGCCTGGCCAGTCGAGGTGCTGTTCTGGACCTTGGCAGAGTGGGGATATGCAGGAGTGGACACGGGCTCTGCCCACAGGACGGTGAACCCCTAGGTTCGTATCACCCCAGAATACTGGCTCCCTGAAGAAGTGCGTGGCACCTCTCCTGCCCCACTGGTTGACTGGGGCCAGTGATCCAGGAGTGGACACAGAACCTCAGGACTGGGAGGAAAGAGAAGGCTCGAGACGCTGGGGGTGCATGTTTGAGGGTAGAATGGGAGGAGACCAGCAGGCAGGAGTGGAAAGAGATGCGGGAAGCAGGTGGAACAGAGCTGACTAGGGGCTGGGGAGGGGGTAGTGAGGCAGGTCTCAGGGCACTTGGGAAGGGCGGGACCTGGGCAAAATGGAGAAGCAGAGGGCCCGGGGTACAGCTTGAGGAGGAAACAAGTGCCTGCAGGAGCCGCTTCCGCCACCCACAGTCCCAGCCCTTTTCTGGCTCTGCCTGTCCTTAGACGTCTGGTCCTTCTCCCTTCTCCGCCTGTTCTCACGTCACACTCCCATTGCTGATCTGCCTTGGTAAAGCCAGAGTCTGATTCCCCTGGGTCCCAGGGCCTACTGGGAACAGGTGTGGAGTTTGTGACTGAACTCTTGCTTCCTGAGTCTCCTCTCCTCAGGTCTGGCCCTCCACCCTTGCCTCCTGTTTGGAGTCCCTCTTCCTGGCCCTGACAGGTGCCCAAGCACCTGCCAGATGCCCCTCCTTGCACCTACCAAGTTGATCCCAAGGGTCCCTCGGACGTCTCCAGGAGTGAGCACATAAAGCAGGGCAGCCGCCACAGTGGCCCCTGCCAGCTGGGCAGCTACGTAGGCCATAGCCCGGGGCAGGGAGATGTGGGAGGCCACAAGGAAGGCCAGCGTCACAGCAGGGTTGACATGCGCTCCACTGGTCTTCCAGCTGACCTGCACTGCCGTGGCTGTGGCCAGGTTGAAGGTGATGGCGACCTGCAGCACAGAGGGAAGTGCCAAGGGCCAGCGTAGGATGGAGCCCACTCCGAAGAACACATACAGTCCTGTGGCCAGGAACTCGGCGAACAGGGCCTTGCTGACCGATGTCCAGAGCCGGCACACCAGCCTGCTGGCCCCGCTCCACAGCCCTGGCTCCATGTCCTCGTGCCTGGTACCCTGGCTGTCACCTTCTTTTCTTGAGGGGTCTCTTCTGCCTCCCCTGGTCTCTTGTCACTGCCTAACGTGGAGGCTTCACCGGTCCCACTTGCAGGTCTTCCACAGCGCTGCTGTCCTGAGGAAGGAAGGAGCTGGTCACAATGGCAGGACACGGCCTGCAGTGGGGTTATGCACATCTGGGTGGGCGGAGGGCACTGTGGGAGGGCTGGTGCTCACGTGCCTGCTTCACCCTGAGCTCACCTGATGGGGGGGTGGGTAAGGCAGCATCCTTGGGAGCTGAGCTGGAACCTCCCAGGAGGTTTTCCAAGCCACGACCAACCCCAACCGGCCCAACTCCTGCTATCCACAGAGGTCTAGCCTGAGGGCTGCAGGCACAGGGAAGGCAGGGCATGATCAGAGACCCAGGTCCAACACCTGCTTCGAGGGCTCCAGCTCTCCCAACCCCCTCTGTCTCCAGGCTCTGCCTCCAAATAGGCTAAGCCGATTCTGCACCCCATAAGCTCAGATGTGAAATTAAGCTCTCTCTTGCATTTCCACCTAAAACCCCACTCACAGAATGCAGATGTGAACAGCCAACTCTACTAAGGATGTGAGCTTGGGAGGGCACAGAGGGGGACAGTGGAGCTACTGACCTTGTGCCAGATGCCACACAGGGCTGTCCGCCAGTGGGAACTTCCACCGACTCTTCACTCTCTTCTTCCCCCTCTGCCTTCCCTCATCCCCTCTCAACCCCTTCCTCTCTGCTCACTTCCCTCTCAGTGCCCTCCAAATTCCTATTTGCTGTATCAGGCAGCTTAACCATTTTTGCAGCGAAGGTCACCCATGCCTAGGTTTTCTTCTTTGACCTCCCAGCATTACATCAAGACATTTTGTCAAAGATCATCCCTTCCTAGGTGTAGTGGTGCATGCCTATAATCCCAGGTACTGGGGAGGCTGAGACAGGAGGATCACAAGTTCAAGGCCAGCCTGGGTAACTTAATGAGATCCTGTCTGAAAATAAAAAGGGCTGGTGATATAGTTCAGTGGTAGAGAACTTACCTAGCATGCATGAGGCTCTGGGTTCCATCCCTGGTAGTGAAAAACGGAAAAGTGTTTCCTTTTTAACAAAATCTGCACAGAGCCGTGGAAATAATATCCACACCTGGGTGTCTTGACCTTGTCCCTGGCCATGTCTACCTGCCCATAGGTTGGTTGTCCTCTGGTCCGCAAATGCAACCTGTCTCAAAATGAGACCCTTCTCTCTCCTGCCCCTCACCCCTTGCACTCCTCTGTCCTCCTGCTCAGTCTGTAGCATTGGTGGCATCTGGGAAGCACCTTGGCCATTCTCTCCCATCCCCCATCCAATAAAACATTAAGCCCTGCTGATTTGGGATCCTGCATTTGTTCTCTTTTTGCCACCTTGCAGCCTTTAGCCAGTCTCTGCTCGCTTGCTCCGCTTCAATCAATTCTCCACACTGCAGCCCAAGTGATCTTTCCAAAATGCAAATCTGACCTGCTGCTCTCCACTGAAATCCCTACAGAGCCTCCCATCCCTCTGGAAGCCCCATGCCTGGCTGACAAGACCTCCAGGATCCTGCTCCTCCAGCCTCCCCTTGCCCCTCTGCCTGGTTTCTTAGCCTTTGCCCTCTGGCCTCGAAGGTGGACTCTGCCAGTCTTTCCTGGAAGGATGCTCTCCCCTCTTCTCTGCTCATCTCAGGCAACTCCTACCCCATCCCTAAGGCATGGTGCTCCTCTCCTGGGTGAGGACTCCCCTTGACAGGTTTGTAGTTTGACACAGGGTGTCTCCCCAACAAGGCAGTGAACCTTAGGGGCAGGAACCACATTTTGTTCCTCTCTATCTGTAGTGTCTTGCATAGATGGACTATAGTAGGTGCTCAAAAAATAACTGTGGAACAAGGCAATGAATGAAAATTTGACCTAAATGACTTTCGTATGTGCTGCTCCTACAGCCTAATACGCCTTCCCCTGGGAGGCCCCTGATAACTTCAAGGAAGACATTCTCTCTGCACATAGGCCTTGCCATCTGCCTCCCCTGTCTCATGTCATTAAAATTCCTCGCTCACCCCTTCTGTTCTTCTAGCCATCATGGCATCACCCTTCCCTCTCCAGAGGACCCCTTGGCCTCTCAACCTGTGCATGCTCTGGCCAGTGCCCCACCCCTAGCTCCCTGTTCCCTCCACCCTGCCCCAACTGCACCACTGATTCTCATTCTCCTCCACATCTCTCAGCCCCATCTGCGCTGCTGGGCACGGCCCGAGAGCCCGGCTAGCCACCAGACTGTAAGGCAATCTAAGGTCTCTGGCCTCAGCAGGGGTCACAGTCTGCTCAGCAATCTTCCCACCATCTCCAGTCAACTCCTCCCTCTGTTCTTCTTCAGACCTCTCCCCTTCTCATGAAATATCCCATTCACGCTGGCTCTCAGGCAGCGCAGTGCCGACTTACGCCTCCCATCGCACTCAGAAAGCAAGCTAGTGGGCAGACCTCTCCCAGCTTCCTTTCGGACCCTCCTCCTCCTTGGCCCACCGGGGTGTGTACTGCTCACCCTCCTTCCACTCACCTGTAAGCCAGGGCCTCCTCCACTCCTGGCTTTTCTCACTCCTGCTGTGACAGCCTTGTGTGTCGGTGACCTCCATGCCCCATAGACTGGACTGGACATGGCTCCAAGCCCCGGTCTCTTACCTGGACTCCAGGCCCATGCAGCCTTCCTGCTGTACCCTCTGGCTGCCCTCCCTTGTCCTCCCCCTGAATGGCCTTGCCATTTACTAAGTCCCCCAGGCTCAAAGTAGGGACCATCCAGATGCCTCCCCTCCCCTCCCCCCAGGGGATGGCCAGGTTCCTGTGGTTCTTGCCTGTCTGACACCTCTTCCCATTCCTATTTGCCACTGGCCCAGTTCAGTCCGTCTTCTCTCAGGATGGCTTCTGACTGGGTTCCCAAACTGTAATGCATCCATGCCCTTCTACACTGCTCACCTGTACCGCGGGAGATTCTTCCAAATTGCCACACTAACCTCACTACTCTGCTCAGGAGGTTCCTCTGGTTCCTGTCTGAACATCCTGCCTAACATGCACAGAAGGACACTTCCCATGTGTATCCACTACTCTAGACAGGTCAAGCATTTATAGTTTCCTTGGGCTTCGGAGCCCGGTGCACGGCATCTGGGATGTCTTTCCTCTGAGATGCTGCTCATGTGCAGTTCCTCTGTGAAGCAGCCCTGAGTTTCTTCCCCAGCAGGAACAGAGCAAGCTCCACAGAGAAGATGGGATTGAACAGAGCCAGGAGCCAGTAGTGCCCTCTGCCTCCTCCGTGCTTCTGCCCTCCTGGTGTAGACTTCCAGCCCTCCATGTGTAGGTAGGAGGAAATGTGCCAATGCCTAGCAAAGGGCAGGAGTCAGAAAATGCTGATTAGTAGCATTGCAACTGCCCTCCTGAGACAGGTGTGGGATTGGGTTCAGGTGAGAAGGGTCCTGGTTGCTGGGGCAGGTCTGGGACAAAGCAGCACCTACAGTCCCCGCTCTAGGCCCGCGAGCCCAAGAACATTGGGTGAACCAGAGCCTCTTTCCCCAGTGAGCCTGGTGCAGAGCCTCTTTGGGCCCTACCTGGCCTGGGACAAGGTCTTTCACCCCCCGAGGGCAGGTGGCCACTGACCAGGGCTTGTGCCAGCTCTGGCTTTGCCTATCCCGCCCAGCACCTTCCCAGACCCAGCCAGTCCTGAGCCTGAGCCAGGCTTTGAGCTCACTCATGAGCAGAGACCTTTCGAAGGGCCCTACACCTGGCTGCCCATGGCTGCCAGTCTGGCTGAGTTCTGGCTGAGACCCTCTTAGGGATTGGGGAAGGTAGGGTGAGCAGAAAGGGAAAAGGAGGAATGGACTGGGAGAGGACAAGAGAGAACGAAAACACGACAGGAAGAAAAGGAGTTCAAGGGGGCTTCTGCGCACCATCCCACTGATGCCTACCAAAGGGGAAGGCTGCAAAGTCTGGTACCTTCACCCACACCTGACAGAGGAGGGAGCTGAGGCGGAGGGAAGCAGAGGAAGCAGATCTTCTCAGTAATCTGTCCCCCTGTCCGTTCATCTAATCAGTCAGTCTCTGTCCATTCTCCACGTTTTTCTCCAGTCTTCTTCCACCTCTCTGTCATGTCCACCTTCCACTAGTGAAATGTGGCAGCCCCTAGCGGGAGGAGCAGGGGGAAAGGGAGGGGCGGAGGCCACCTATGGGAGAACCTAGGCTTTCTTTCCGTTCGGTCTTCAGGTGGGGCAGAGGGTCAGAGAGGAGCCTGAGCTTGGGTGTGCTTGGGGACACACACCTGTGTGCCTCTCTGAAGACGCACGGAGCCAGGTTTCTGGGTCTCTTTCCTGAGTGGCCCTGTGAGAGTGAGTGGTAGGGCAGGGTCGCTGTGGGTCTGCACTTCTGAAGTGAGTAAGGGGTACACACACACACCGAGAAGATGCATGCTGTGGGATGCAACTGAAGGTCATCGTGCCGCGGGGAGCCCCTGAGATGTGTGGAGTTAGTGTGCGTGTGCTCGTGTGTTCACCGGTCTTTGTCAACCCACAGACCCGGCAGCTCAGACAGATCAGACACAGGAGCACAGCGCCCCCTGCTGGCCAAGTAGCCCCAGCCACTGGGACTTGTCAACCCAAAGCCCCTGTTCGACCCTTGCCCAGTGGCTGGACAGGATCATCTGCAGGAAGCCCAAGACCTCGAACTCCCTCTGACAGGATGTCCCCCCAGGCCCTAAGGTCTGCTCCTCATGAGTCCACCGTTCACTCTGTCACGGTAGGCCTTGGATCCCGTCGGAGAAAGGAGCAAAGGCCCTGGGCTGGCGCGAGAGAGGGTAGCGTCCCGGTCACCATCGTGCCCGCACCGGAGTCTCCTGGAGCTTGGGGTGGATGGGGGAGGGGGGGTTCTTCCTTTCTGCACCTGCTCCCAGGTAGTGGGAGGGGGTGGACCAGGGACAGGCTACTTCTTGGTGGCCCTTGGGAACCCGAGCCCAGAGACTCCTTGTGTCCTCCGCTCCCGTCCCGCCCCCTGCCTGGCCGGGGGACAGCCCCTGGACTCGGGGAAGCACGGGCTGTGGATTCGGTGGACGCGGTCTCCCCCTGCTGGCCAGAGCGGGTACTCGCAGCCTGGCTCCGGCCTCCCGGGGGCGGATTGCAGAAGTGGGAAGGAAGGCGAGGGTGGGTGAGGGTGGTGAGGGGGCCCG